GAATCTCGCATCTCTTCATACGACCTCATTAGTAAGTCCTTCGCAGCCTTCGTCTTGCGCGTATTGACTCTGGCTCCCGTTCAGACCCTTACAATGGCCCTTTTCTACCTCGCGGCATATCCTCAATATATGGGTCACCTCCGAGATGAGGTCGATAGGGTGGTTCGAGAACACGGCTGGACTAAAGCCGCACTAGACGAGATGCACAAGGTTGACAGCTTCCTCAGAGAGGTGATGAGAGCCTCGGGGATGACCACTGGTATGCATTGTATATCCATATTCAATGACTTCGTCATCTTTGATCATGAACAGGCACCATGTCTAGAAAGGCGGTGAAGGATTATACCTTCTCGGACGGCACCTTCATACCTGCGGGCACTTATCTCATGGCACCTACTGGTGCAATTTACACAGATGATGCGGTGTATCCGAACGCAGTCGAATTCAATCCATGGCGCTTCTCCGACATGCGGGACCAGGACGAGTACGTAAAGTTGGTAAATACCAATCTAAATTTTCTTAGCTTCGGTCACGGACATCATGCATGGTACGACTCTCACTATATGGTATATATAACACACGTGCGCTGACGATCGAGGTCATGTCTGGATTGTTTTCATATAGCCCAGGCCGGTTCTTCGCAGTGTCCGAAATGAAGACCATACTGGCGCACATTGTGGCAACCTACGATGTGAAGATGGAGCAGGAAGGTGTTATACCCACTCCTATCATGATAGGCCACATCTGCGCGCCAAGCAGGAAAGCTGAGATACTGGTTCGCAAGAGATTGCCATCTCAGATGGCATGACTGCCGTCTTGAAATTGACGTTCTGTATGAATACAGTGTATACGTATGGTTTTGCTACGACTGCAGACCTCAGGCGACAGGCCCCAGACATTCATGATATAATGACAATGTATCCTATGTAAAGTTGAAGATAAGATGAAGCGAGCAAGCGACGCTGCAAATGAAGGAGGCAACAAGCCATCTTTCCCAGCGATGTTACATACGTTCGCAGACTGTAATCGGTTCTATGACCAGGGAAGCTTCATCTGGTTTGTATGGGCGGTGGCAAGGCGCAGATTCATGGCATCATGCATTGCGCAATTGATATCCAGCACGATTATCCACCTTATCAGACCTATAGATAGAAGCTTAGGTGGGCTGCCCTGCGACGCCCTCACGGATGTCTTTGTAGAACTCCTACACCTGACGCTGCGCCACCTGCGCTATCTTCTCGCAGTGCGGCCTCCTTTCCCCTTCGCAGCCGTGGCGAAAGCACGGGCCCTAGCCCTTTCGGACCAGCCGTCCTGGTTGAGTGACGTTCGCCGTGCCCTGGCCGCATTGGCAGTACCAGTGGCTTTCGGCCTCTAGGTTGCCCTGACCGTTGACGCCGTCGAGACGGCGCTTGCGGCTCGAGGAGGGGCGGTTGAAAGCGCGGTGCGAGGCAACATTCTGGCATCGGTGAGAGTCTCACTCTTGCGGGATCGGAAGATGTACGTCCCTGGACGGGGTGTTAGTGCGTGCCCAGCCCTGGAATATCGCGAGCACCTACGTGTTGACGACCATGCCGACCGCCGTGCGCTGACGCGTCTCCTCTGTGGTGACCACCCCCTCGCGGTGGAACAGCTCCGGCAAGTCTCTCCCCCTGTGCCGCGCGACCGGCGAGCGTGTCATTTTTGCCTGCAGACCGGGAGCGTCGAGGACGAGGCACATGTGCTGGTTGACTGCCTTGATGCGCGGCTCGTGGCGCTACGGGATCCGTTCTTCCTGGATGCGTGCCGCGCGGTCCCGGTCCTATTGCATATGCGCTGCATCCTCTCGTCCTCGGACTGGTTGCTGGCGGTACTCGGGAGGCGTGCACTGGTGGCTCGGACGGCACGCATTGTCCGCAAAGTGTTTGATCTTTGCGCGGTGGTGCCCTTGTAGCGCTGTTAGGTGTGCCCTCTTCACCATCTTCTCAGTCTTGCCGATATTGATTGCGCGGGCGACAATACGACTGGTAGGCGACCTACGAGGAGGAGGAGGAGGAGGAGGATAGATTGGCAAAGATACGGTGCAAGTAAATCACATGACGCTCGGCCCAGTACAGAGGCCTACGTAAGGCTGGTACGCCGTTGCAAGGGAGGTACAAAAACGATGACCAAATTGGTCCTCTCTGGACCTAAGGACCAACCGACCAATTCTTAGGTAGGAGGTGCACGTGCTCGAGCTCACTCAACCGTCACTAAGGTGGGCCATCGTACTCAAGCTCACTGAGAGGTTCACGCACACGACGAGTCTCTCGCAGGGGGGAACGCGCGGCTGTTTATTGCGGACAGAAAAACGTTGAAACATTAGCGGATGAAGTCTAACATACAGCAAGGAGGAGGGGGAGGGGCAGGGAGCGGAGGACGAGTCAATTACTTGTAGCTAGGGAGGTACTGGTAGGGAGAGAACGGGCCGTGTAGTCAGGTAGTACTATCATACTAATACAAAGGACATTGCCCGAGCGGTGGACAACACAAACGCAGGCACAGGGTCACCGTGCGCGAATTCAGAGGTTGTGAGGAGAAAGCAACCTCAAGTGATCAGCCAGACACTGTTACGAAAAAATGCAAGTGGGGACGGTGTAAGCTCACATAGCTCTGGGTCATTGACACATGGTGCGTCCCATGGCAATGAAGATTGTGGCCCCTAGTGGCCGCTGTCAGCGGAGCCAGCCTCAGAGACATAGTCATTTGACTGTCCAGTAGGCTCTCCAGGCTCTCCAGGCTCTCCAGGCTCAGGCTTGTCACGCAGTGCTTCAATGCACAAATACTTGATGCCACAGTGTTCAACAATGAGCGAGGGGTCAGCAGCCTTCATTTTGAAGCAGGTGAGCAGCTCAAATAGAGGGCCACCATTGGGCAGCATGGTGAACTGCTTGGCAATTATGTGTTACAGCTTGGAGGGGGATTTCTTTTCTTTTCCTAACTATTCGTCATTGACCCTGTACCTGTATGACTGATCCCATCACTTGATGTGTTTCACCTACATCAGTGTTTCATATCTATCACATTTCACCTATATCATGTTTTACCTACATCACGTTTCATCTCCATCACGTTTCATCCTCATTACTGATACAACTCAGTGAAACTTGTTTCATGTACATCACTGATCCAACTCAGTGTTTCATAC